GTTGGCAATGGCCCGGGCGATGAGAGTCTTGCCACTCCCAGGAGGTCCATACAGCAACACTCCTCGCGGAGGTTTCACTCCCAGTGTCTTGAACAAAGTTGGATGGCGCAAAGGCAGCTCAATCATCTCGCGGATTTGGCCCATGGCCTTCTTGCAGCCCCCGATGTCATCGTAGCCAACTTCGTCAAGGCGCTCCTCATCTTCACGCTTCACAGGCTCACCTTCACAGTGGATCACGGTGTCTGGCGCCACAATCACGAACTCGCCTGGGTCCACGCCCACCACTTTGAACTCCACCGGCCGGAAGCCTCCTCGCACAAGGAAAAGGTCGCCCTGACGTGCGGGCCTGTAAGCTTCGAGGAAGTATGGCTTCAGGTACGTGTCGAAGAGATTTCCTGTGATGCCTTCGATGGTGTCGTCTAGGGGCAGCACATGGATGCGCTTCCCATAGGGCACATCACCACAGGCATGAACCGAAATGATGTCGCCCAAGCGCACACGCAGGTTCTTGCGGACGACCTTGTTCATGCGAATCTTGCTGTCGTCTAAGTTCTCATCAGCCAGGACGATGCACACTGTGTCCTTTCGCTTCTTGCCCTTGATCAACACATTGTCGCCGCGGAAGAGGTTCAGCTCCTCCATCTTCGCTTGCGACAAAGAGATTACCTGAGGAATCCCGAGAAACTTCAACAGCAAAACTCAACACAAGTCTCACTCCCTTCGTCCATCTGCTTCCGGTAACTATGACATACTTAACATAACATATAGCCGACATAGCCAAGATTCCGAATTGTCATCGTTCAGCGCCTCCTCCACAACCAAACGATTGGGGGAGCGCTTCTTCTGAGGCTTCGCCGGGTCCGCCGGGACCGGCGCAGCGGGTGGCGCGGGCTCTTCAGCGGCCATGGAGGGAAGCGTCACCCCAGAGACTAGGAGTCTGCTGTTATCCTTGATCCTGCACTCAGTGGCACGGGCACAGGAATCGGATTTGTTTCATGACGATGAAGAAACGTAGCAAGAGGGAGGCAGACCGGGAGAAGGGGTGGAGGAGGGGAGGGAGGGAGGGAGGGATGGAAAGAAAAAGAAGGGGAGCGACATTCAGTGCCACTGCTTGGTAATATATGCCCCCGCCGGACTCAAGACTCATCCGTCGGAACGAGCAAACGCAGCGCACTCTGTTTGTCTGTCTCTCCTTTCACTAGCGTCAGCCAGCTAGATCTCTTGGGCGAATGCCCGCAGATTTGATTTTCGACATGGTGTGCCCCGCTCGAATCATGAAAAGCTGGGGACCGCAAACAGTCTCCTATTCGAGAACTTGAAATATCCATAGCCTCAGCCATAGAGGTCGTCGTCATCGTCCGCAGCTGCGGCACTCGCTCCAATTCCCACGTCGTCTGGCCAGTTGATGACCACACCGCTGGTACCGCCACCGGCGGTTGAATTCATGTAGATCGGGTCGAACTTCTTCCTGAACTGGTCGTACTTTGCAAGGTCCGAGCCGGCGACCGACCGCCGTGCGCCGGCGAAGGCCTCCTCGAAGTGCTTGCGCCCGATCTCGGAGCCCATAGTTGTGTCCATGGCATCGTCGTCGCCTGCTCGCAGCTCATCAGCTGCAATGGCATCGCGCACCGCTGCCTTTGCAGCTCGTTGGCACAGCTCTGCCAGATCTGCTCCACTGAAGCCTTCAGTCTTCTGCGCGATGAAGGACAGCGGCACATTGGGCGCGATGGGCGACTTTTTGAGAGTAGCCTCCAGGATGCTTTGTCGTGCAGGCAAGTCGGGAAGCGGGATGTAGACAAGCTGATCAAGTCGGCCTGGACGAAGCAAAGCCTCATCTAACAGCTCGGGCCGGTTCGTGGCACCGATGAAGAATACGTTCTTCTTCGCACCGACGCCGTCGATCTCGGTCAGCAGCTGGTTCATGACACGATCGCCAGCACCTCCTGCATCTCCCTGGCTCGATCCACGGGCCGTGCCTACCGAATCCAGCTCGTCGAAGAAAAGAACACACGGTGCGGCTGCCCTTGCTTTATCAAAGACCTCTCGTACGTTGGCCTCAGACTCGCCGAACCACATGGTCAGAAGCTCCGGGCCCTTGATGCTAACGAAATTGGCAGAGCACTCACTGGCGACTGCCTTGGCCAGAAGCGTCTTGCCGCAGCCTGGAGGCCCGTAGAACAGCACACCTCTAGAAGGCTGCATGCCGAACTTTTCGAACTTCTCCGGGTGGTCGATGGGATACAAGATCGTTTCCTGCAAAGACCGCTTGGTGTCCTCCAAGCCTCCGATGTCATCCCACTTGATGTTCGGGACTTCTACTACTGTCTCGCGCAGCGAGGAAGGATTCACTGTGCCCATTGCGGACTTGAAGTGCTCTTGAGACACTGCCATAGAGTCCAGCACCTCTGCATCGATGGTCTCCTCCTCCAAGTCGATGAGGTCCATCTTCTCACGGATGCACGTAAGCGCGGCTTCTGTGCAGAGCTGCGCCAGGTCTGCTCCGACAAAGCCGTGGGTGTTGGAGGCAACCTCCTCCAGCTTCACGTCGGTGCCCAACTTCATGTTCTTGGTGTGAATGCGCAGAATCTCCAGCCGGCCATTGTCGTCAGGCACTCCGATATCCAACTCGCGGTCAAATCGGCCGAAGCGGCGCAGTGCTGCATCAATGGAGTTGGGTCGGTTGGTGGCTGCAATCACCACCACCTGACCACGGCCCTTGATGCCGTCCATGAGGGTCAGCATCTGGGACACAACCCGCTTCTCCACTTCGCCGCTCGTCTTGTCTCGCTTCGGGGCAATGGAGTCGATCTCATCAATGAAGATGATGGCTGGCGAATTCTTCTCAGCCTCTTCGAAGGCCTTTCGGAGATTGGACTCTGCTTCGCCTGCCATCTTGGACATGATTTCTGGGCCGTTGATCAGAAAGAAGAAAGCTCCGGTCTCGTTGGCAATGGCCCGGGCGATGAGAGTCTTGCCACTCCCAGGAGGTCCATACAGCAACACTCCTCGCGGAGGCTTCACTCCCAGTGTCTTGAACAAAGTTGGATGGCGCAAAGGCAGCTCAATCATCTCGCGGATTTGGCCCATGGCCTTCTTGCAGCCCCCGATGTCATCGTAGCCAACTTCGTCAAGGCGCTCCTCATCTTCACGCTTCACAGGCTCACCTTCACAGTGGATCACGGTGTCTGGCGCCACAATCACGAACTCGCCTGGGTCCACGCCCACCACTTTGAACTCCACCGGCCGGAAGCCTCCTCGCACAAGGAAAAGGTCGCCCTGACGTGCGGGCCTGTAAGCTTCGAGGAAGTATGGCTTCAGGTACGTGTCGAAGAGATTTCCTGTGATGCCTTCGATGGTGTCGTCTAGGGGCAACACATGGATGCGCTTCCCATAGGGCACATCACCACAGGCATGAACCGAAATGATGTCGCCCAAGCGCACACGCAGGTTCTTGCGGACGACCTTGTTCATGCGAATCTTGCTGTCGTCTAAGTTCTCATCAGCCAGGACGATGCACACTGTGTCCTTTCGCTTCTTGCCCTTGATCAACACATTGTCGCCGCGGAAGAGGTTCAGCTCCTCCATCTTCGCTTGCGACAAAGAGATGACCTGAAACTGCTGCAGCTCCGAAGACGCATGTGCCACTGATAGCACGTCTAAGCATCGACAGGCCACGACCTCTCAAACTCCTGCAACGGCCTGTGTGGTCTGGTGCCGGGTGCCTTTTTTGGGCTGTCCAAGGATCGGGCTGAATTGTCATCATTGAGGGCCTCCTCCACTACGAGCCTGTTCGGTGACCTGAAGCATGGATGAGCAATCTCGAGGGATCTGCACTTTCACATTGCAGACATGGATAACATCAAGCTCAAGATCACGGCAGATTGAAGCTCAGCTCTGCTTGAATGGAACTTAGCTGTAGGCTGCGGATACGTGAGCACGTCACTATGCCGTATTGCCTAAAAGGCAGGGCATTGGTTGTATCGCGATGGTTCTCACGCCTGGTACCAGTACTTCTGCAGCCGACCTTCTTTGTGTATCTTGACGTACCGATACCATTCAAAGGCACGGACAAAGCACTGGGTGTGGGAAGGACCCATGCACACACTCCACACTTGTAACATTAAGTGCACACTTGGATCGGCCTCGCCAATGCAATACAGTCGGGGGCCTTACTCCTTCACAACTCTTTTGAAGCTGAAATCTGTTGTGATCATAAGTTCTCCGGCCTTTTCTTCTGTGGCTTGGCAGGCTCTGCCGGCGGGGGCGCCGGAGCCACGGCTTCTTCAGCCATAACGGGAATATGCCCGGGGCTGCGAGGTCTCGTATTGATCTGAGCCGAGATGCCCAAAGACGGATCACGAAAGCACTGGAAGCTTCCAAAGCAGTCGGAGCTGCACGTGCGGGCAATGGAGCAGCACTCGGGCTGTTGGCACGATGCGACGAAAGCTTCATCATTCAGGCCAGCACCCAGCATTTCAGGGTGCTGTTGCATGCTCTGCAATAAACAGGTCTGGTGACTTCGTCTGCTCACAGGTCTGGTTTGATCAAATCTAGCCATGTGGCCGTGTCTCAACGGCAGGCCTGTCTGCAAACGATGCGTGACCGACCGGTCTTTGGGAATGTCATAGGACGGCTCATGCGCCAGGAAGCACCTCAGAAACCGAGCAGGCGGGCATCGGAAGCAGATTCTGCTATCTCAAAACCTCTTCACATACTGCTTTTAACTACTTGCATTCCGCGACAGTCGGCACAACATCTGCTGTGCTTCTGCGCAGCGAGCCTCCAGGAACTGAAATGAAGTTGTGCCGAAACTGACGATGTGTGTTTGTCGCTAGCCGCTAGGGTGGCCTTGCTGTGCTCTCCCTGCGGTCCTGAAGCTCAGGGCCGAACTCTCCAAACGAGAGTGTGATGCGACATCCTTTCACGAGCTGGGACTAACACTGGCTGGACAAGCAACGCTTAAGCTCAAAGCCTCAACATGCTGCTCAGAGTTGCCCGCCTCAACGCCTCTGCTTGGCAGATCTTGTCTTGCAGAATGGTATGTGCCGCTCCTGGCAGGCGGCCACCCTTCTGGATGAGGTAACCAGCAGCCAGCTAGCATCGCTATCTTTTTCGCCAGCAGTAGAAGTGTCTTGCGCCCGTGTTGTTAACGCTGCGGCAAAGCCGTTGCATGCCCTGTACTGTGCTGACCCTAACAGCCCATCCATCAACAATCGGTGACCTCCGGGTTCATGCTTGCAACCAGCCACCTATAGTCACTATGGTCATGATTATACTGTTGCCACCTCCCGCCTGTCTAACTGGGTGAGGCCACAGGACGAACCAAAACGCCGATTCATATTCATCCAGACCTACCTACCTACGTACCTCGCATACAATCATACATACAACATCCATCCATCCATCCATCCATCCATCCAACCATGCATACATGCATGCCTGCACCTACACACATACACATGATCACAACACTAACAGGCATTAAACACACACACACACACGCACAAAAAAAACAAACACACAACCAAACATGCATGCATACGTACCCAAATACCATGCATACATACATACTTACATACAAACACACATGCATACGTCAACAGGTACATACATTCATACATACATACATGTTTTTGTCATTCGCACTCGGCACAATACATACAGACGTACATAGATACATACGTACATACATACATCTAGACAGATATACAAATGATAGATAGTTAGATAGATATGGAGATCAATAGTGAACAATATACAAAGAAGAAGGATAGGTAGATAGAGTGATAGATAGATAGATAGAACGATAGCACAGACATACCCATGCATACTCACCTGCATATGTCAAAGAAACACATATCCGCACGCACACATGCACAGGCGAGCAACCATGCGCTTTTCAATCCATCCATCCGTTGCATTCACAAACTACATTTATATTACATTGCATTGCAGTGCTCTACATTACATAACATATCGGTACATACTTTAGGCACATGCATGCTTACATATGCACTCATTGTTGTTGATTTGTGATATCTCCTGTTTCCCATGCTCGCGCGAGCGGCTAGCAGCTAGCATGCTCGACACCTTAAACCCCTTGCATGCTGCAGTTCATTCTCTTCCGAGTACCTGCTACCAGGCTCTGGGTAGAAGAGGGGACTGAGGTGCCGGCAGCTTGGGTGGACCCGAAGCGGCGGCCGCAATGAGGGCAAGGCACCCGATCCTTGCTCTCACATGTGATCCCTGACTAAGGCTGGCCAAGGTCCAAAAAGACCACTGTGAAACTCCATTCACTTCTCCGACTTCTATAGCGAGGTGTAACCTGTCAGATTCTTATTTATGATACCAGGACATTACATCTTCTAAGATCAGTCTCAGCTCAGGGCATCTAATGAAGGATCCGTCGGCGGTGGCGGAGGCAGATTTCTCAAGCTCTTGCCATCCTCTGCATGACACCAAGCAAAGGGTGCATCTTGGCAATCGAAGTTGAGTGGACATAGAGCATTTGTGCTTGGCAGGCCGAGACAGAGGGCAAAGGGCACACAAAACACACGAGATGGCTTCCAAACACTGTCCTTTACGTGCTGGTCCACGATACGTGCCTGTACGCTTCATATTCCACCATGCACCGCACATGCCAGAACAGAGTCGCTACCTCTTCCATCTTGTCAAAACTCCACCGTGCTACTGGCAGTAGGAATCGCAAGTTGCCGCGCAGAAACCTACAGTATCATTGAGTGCTACAGAACCCATTCTCGATTCCGAACCTGTCTCACCGCCTGCCGGAAGGCTTCGGATTGCTTCTTCCAGGTCGGGACTGCGCCAGGGATCAAGAATGCCGAGGAGTATGTGTCACATCGGGAGAGGAAGACACAGGAGCAGATGACGCAGGCCTTTAGGCTCGTTTGTACCTGTGCTTGATTGACACACACAAACATGATCAATTAATTGCAATTTCAATACACTGTGTTACACACAAACGACAATGTACATTGACCTGGCGTTGTTTTTGTACACGGATGCGTACGCATATCTGTGCTGAGAGACCGGCCCACTTGCATATGTAGGCCATCCCCACACGAATGAGTATGTTGCAAGAGTACGTGCGCACAAGAATGCAAGCATGTATGGACAGCTACTTGGACCTACTTACCGACTTACCTGACCTACCTGCCTGCAAATAATCATGTACATACACAAGAATGCCTGCACGATCATGCATGCATGCATACATATGCAGGATACATGCATGCACATACGCACCCACACACATACATAGGTCCATGCATTTTTGTAGCCCAAATATATAATAAATAGACCGATAGACAGCTAGATAGATAGATAGTGTTTGTTTGCATGTATGCATGTACCTATGTATGTATGTATGTATATATTTCTATACACACGAATACACACATACATGTTTAGGTACACACACATGTGCATACATACATGCATACCTACATACATGCACTTGCATATACGCATGCTTCCATATGAATAGACGTACATATGCATATAATATATGTGTATACACATGATGCATACACATAGGTACAAACGTACACACAATTGCATATGCATTACACCCGTACGCGCATACGCAGGTTCAATGCAATATAACATGGCCAAGAACAACATACGCTTACATACCTACATGCATACATGAGATTACAGTTCGTTTCAGCATGTTTCATTGCAGCACAGAAAATTACACCGCATGGCGGTAAGCTGCAGTACATTACAGCCGATGCTTCCAACCATTGTATACACATACACAGTGAGCAAACACATAGTATGTATGTACGTACAGTGCGCACTTGATGTTTCTTTCTGTGTTACAGGATAAACAAGTACCTGCTTCTACATAAGGTCATACGCACTTATGCACAAGCATGGCATATGTCACAGACATGAGTCCAGAGCTTAATGCATAGATACCACATGCGTCGAACGTACATATTTTATCTTGTCTGTCGATAGTTACATTCTAGATTCTACATTCTACATGGACAGCGTGCTCCTGCCGGTGCACACGTTAGCCCATGCGCCTGTGTACATATACGTGCCGTATACATGTATGTGTTTGCAGACAAATGTATAAACTAGCATAAACATGTTACAGCCATGTATGTGTGCGTCCGTTTGTGTTCGGGTCTCATTGTGACCATGCACAGGTGTGCCTGCTTGGCCAGTTTCTGTGAGTGCGCAGGGCTGCAGACAGCGATACAAGTCAACAGACCGATATTTACCTGGACCAGTTCGTAGGATAATTAATATTATATATATATATATATATGCACACATACACATGTAAATATACAACAAGTAAGAACAGGAAATGCAAATAGAGAGAGAGAGAGAGAGAGAGAGAGAGAGAGAGAGAGAGAGAGAAGGAGATAGAGAGAAAGGAAGCAAGAACTGCCAGGCGAACTTTTCCTGCACTGGTGGCGAGGGTCCGAGAGAAGGTTTGCGAAGGCATCTGGCGCAAAAGTGAGGAAACCGCGGGACATTCCCCTTCACTCTCCTCTTGATGGAAACTCTGCACGAGAAAGATATCTTTCCTGCCCTACGGTCCCGGGCACATCTCGGACGTTTGATACGGGATCATCATCAGCTCTTCTTCTCCAGTAAGGGGCGGGTCGAGTCCCCTGATCATCAGCCATCTCCCTTTGCTTTGCTAGGGGCTAGGAGCGGGAGCAGTCCTCCCTCTCCCTCTCTGTCTCTCCTCCTTTCTGTGGCATGGCCTAGGGGACGCAGCCTTAGCAACGTTCACACTCGATGAGCATCCACACTTGTCAGGAACGAAGAGAATGGCTTGCTCGGTGGCATACTAGCTTCACTTCGAGGCCTAGGGACTGGGCTAGCTCTCTTAGTCTCTCAGTCTCTATCTCTCTCTCTTGGTTTACGTTGCTTTGTTTTTCAGAATGGGAGGCTGGTCTCGCTCTACTAAGGCCTATAGCTAAGAACTCATCAGGCTACACGCCCTCTCGCCCTCTCCCTCTTTCTCCCTCTTCTTCCCCGGGGCATGAGTGGTGTCTGATGCCCCTCGGTCACAAGCCCCCCCCGTCGTTTATGGTGGCTGTCTCTCCCTCTCCCTCTCTCCCTCTCGCTCTCTCTCTCTCTCTCTTCCTTGCTCTCTCTCTCTCTCTCTCTCTCTCTCTCTCGTGTCTGCAATCTATGTATATGCACAAGTCTGCAGATTCATGCAGGTGCAGGTGCCTGAACATAATCGTGGTCGCAACAGCACTGCGTTTCTACAACATGTTGTATACATGAGAGTTCGTTGGTGTGGGTGCCTCCATGTATAACTTCCTCTGTACATGCATGTTGACTCAAGCCTTGGGATGTGAATCTGCAGCCGCATGACCACCCGAAAAACAATTGCAGGCAGTCATGGAACGCATGCAAATAAGTAACCGTTTGCGCGTGTGCATGCGTAGCTACCGTCTACATGTAGGAGGTGGATGTCATTGGAACCTCCTCCCAGCCTCATTCATGCTACAACAGCCGAACCGCTGCACATTCTTGACTCTGTGACTAAGACCCTGTGTCCCTTTGGGCCTCTCAGAATCCAGATGCCATGCCTTCAAATATACCCCAGGGCACATTAGCCCACGATGAGGTACTGCCGTGAGCCTGCGCCGGTTGCCCTGGACCCACGACTGTGAGCTTTGCATCATGCAGCACCGGTGTTTCTGGACTTTCAGATTTTGGGTCTAAGGACGGTTTCTCGTCTTCCTTATACATACCGTGTATATGTTGTATTGAGCCACTGTCCCGGATACCAGGCGAGCTCTCCGAGATGGCGCAGGGATTCCCGGCTTCTCGCGCATGCCCTCGCAGGCGCTTGAAAGACTCAAGACCAAAAATTGATCTTAAGCAGGGTTGCCTGCAGGTCGACTGTCACTCATTCTGGATTGAGTCACCAGCACACATCTCTGGGGGCAGTGCCATTGCGGCTATGCATGGACGAATGTGTCACAGCCGACAGCGTGGCAAGAACAAAAACTGAAGGAAAATACATGCAGCAAGGCATGAAACTGTACCGACCCATGCCTCGCTTAAATCCTACTTCGTACATAACTCCAAACCCCGTTCGGCATAGCTCACCCCACGCAGTCGGCGCCATTCCTCTGATGGATCCCCACATCGACCATGGTCTGCGATGTTGCGAAGCAAAGCTTGACAGAGGACCTAGGCGCCTGGGACTGCTCCGCCCTTTCAACACCTGTCGGGCAAAGGGCACCTTTACGACGCCGCTCAGAAAGAGCAGGAGCGAGGAATCTGGCAAGCGTCAAACGGGGCCGCGTACGCAAAGATCGCATCTGAGTGCCGTTGCACCGATGTACATGATGCACCGGATGCCCGATCCGATTTACGGCCCAAGCTTGTCAGTCGGGGTGGAGGATGAAAAATAGAGCCACCCATATATTCTGCTAGCCCAGAACTAACCGAATAGTTGTAACCGACAAACCGTCATTTGATGGCTCTTGAACTCCCTGGGCGCCGGAAGCCTTCAGGTCAAGGCAACGCCAAGCGCAGCTTCGACTTGATCAGTCAACTTCTCGGCTTTCAGGGATCCTGGGTTGTCCCGTTAAACGGACTTCCAAAGTCGGGACATGCACAACTCACAGCCTTCTGAAAACGCTCGGTGCGCAACCAGCTCCACCATACACGTGACTTCCAACCGAGACTACCAACCATACTTTTGGGGGGAACTTGCTGATTGGTATGGCTCTGCAGTGGAGAATCGGGCCGTTCAAGCGAAGTCGCCAAACTATTGAGGAAAGTTGGCAACTGCCTCAATACCTCTAGGATCCTCTACGACTCTACGGGTCAATCCGAGTCCTGACCTCCCATGCTGATCCATGCTGCAGGTGTACAGTGGAGACCGCTTGCTCCGCTGAAAGCCGGAGGCACCGCAGGTCCGTGGGGCAACGCAGCAGAGGCAACACAAGGGCCGGCCACGCACGTCCCATGCCACCCTTACAATGTTGATTGTGCATGTGTGTGTGTGTGTGTGTGTACGGCGTACATATTATACAGAAGGTAAGATGAAGGTATATTGGCGTACAGCGATCGTAGAACAGTAGTTGCAGTACATGCTTGCAGCAGTGGTGGGGTCGTGGCTCGGCCCACCTGTGCAGACCCTTTGGGTCTGGTTGAAAACACGGCCAGGGTGCAAGGGCCAATGCACCCAGAAGGGCTCATCGCTCAAAGATCCTTTCCTGAGATCTATAGACCCTATACACATGATTTTGGATCAAATGGCAAATGCTGTGCTGAAATGCCTGGACCTTGCTCCTGCTGGACAGCCGCATACATACGAGCCTCTTAGCTGTAAATGACCGACGATGGCTCGCAAGTTGGTCAAGCGAAACTCATCGAGGACATATAAGCACCATGATCGCGAGGTTGTCGCACGTTCTAGGTGCCGTATGGTATGTTGGAGCGAATCCGCAAGTGCACAAGCGTGCAAGCCTTCCAGAACCACCCGAATCGCATGCATGCACGGCTTGCAAGAAATGGCGGCACTGATGTGCCCTGTGCGAGGCGTCCAATTCATCACCTCGGCAGATGTCCACATGAGACGAGACAAGGACTGCGTGCCGGCGCAGGTTACTTCGCCACGTGGGCCGAGTCCCGCAATTGCACAGGCGGCATATTATCATAATGCTATCTTCGAGCGGAAACATCGCAGCAAAGGTCCCAGCTCTGCTGAGGCCACAGATTCTCTGAAATGCCCACAACATCTGAACTCCTGTCAAGGCCGAACGAATTCTGAATTCTTACCAATCAGGTGCCTTATGGCCG